TATAAAAATAATTAACAGCTGCGGGGAAGAGCTAAAACAAAAGCAATTTTAAACACAACTCGAAATTTTGTGAAGAAACGAGATTATTACTAAAGCCGAAGCCTATATATTTGTAGTCGAAGTTTATGGGAGCCTTTGAGCTGCCGAACTTTTCACCAGTGCCACCAACTGTAATAACTAAAGCTTAGACAATACTGCTTTTCATGACACCATCACGTGCCACTTCAGCGTTCTATAATTTTAAATATACATTTTCRATTTCTTTATCAATGAATAAGTAAAACCCCGACTCCATGATTAAGTACACATTAAATACCTACTGTGTATGTTGGTTATTGTTTGTGTATATGTGTAAGTGATTTCATTTTTGGCTGGATCAGCARTTATTACAACTCTTAAGCTACATAATGGCTGCGGCATAATAAAYACAGGGTGCATTGCTCGCTTAATGAACTGCCAGCTTTAAGCCGATTTGGCTGCAACAAAGCGCCTACATAATTAACAACAACAATGTGTGCCATTGTGCCAGAATTTCACAAGTTGCTCAGGCGCTCTATATGTGTGCAAATATGTAAGCGAGCGATTTAACTTGTTATACCTTTGTTTGGCAACAAGCACGTATGCCTGGATATTCGAGAATACACACACATACTCCTTTGCTCATGCATATGTGCGACAATGTGCTCGTGTATGTATGTGGCACGTAATTTGAGTGCCACCAAGTCAAAGGTTAACCAGCACYTAACTGCTTACACATGTGTAGATATGTGCTGCCTTATGTGAATAATTCAATTTCATCACAAACACATACACACACGCACACTTACATACAATATCCATGCAGCTAGGCCAAGTGGCGTTATTCGCTACTGTTTCAATCGTTGTATGCGTTTTAAATATTGTTATTAATTTACTTAAATCAAGCAAAGCTGCCAAAGRTTATGAGAATATTTAAAGCGACGGGAAATTGGATTTGGATATTTCGAGCATTTTCTTTCTCAACTCTTCTGGWTATCTCTTCTAATTTTAACCAATGAAGAAGTTTCCAAAGTAAGCTTTACCCCATTTCTATAAATCACAATACAATGGTCTTGTTATACTTAAAATGAAAGCCCTGTACTACCACACCCTTAAGTAAAATAGAAAATACCGTCATTCTTCTTTATTAGCGTAGGTATCGGTAAAGGCTATCGCTGTTATAGCCGAGGAGTCTCTCATTCGGAGCTATTTTCTTCTTTTCACTGGGGTGTTTTTTACGTGGCGGGTCCCAAACCCAGCGCATAACCCTGAAAAGTGATTTTTCGCCTTCTCACTTTAGCTTGCCTTCAAACATATGTTTTTTGGCCGCCCAGAGGTTACTTGGTCTAAGACCGCAAGTCATGAGCTGCTTGAACCATATATAAAATAACAAATTGTGGTTACTTGTAAATGAATGGCGCTCAAAGAACTTTCCTCACTTGCGTGAACTTCTACATATGACTCCATCCTCCTGTTCTCACATTAAACATTATAAAATATTTTTAAAAGCCAATTGAACTATAATGCTTTSATAACAGCCAATATAAAAGCTAAAAGTTTCAAAACCATTAACTAAATATGCAATTAGGACCAATACGATAAAAGCTACATTCGAGTAAAATATTGAATTCCACCCAATAAATAATGTTACGTATACGCCATGTAGCTATCAAACGACTTTCATAACTAAACATGTAATATAATTGTTTTTCCAAAGCCATTTAGCAGCTCAAAGCCCTAGAGACATTGACTATTGAATTCTTAGCTAACAAAATGTTCGAATCCATTCACAAAAGAACACACACACACATATATACTTATAGATTTTATATAAGAAGAGAGTTACTTATCTATTTTGTCATGCCAAGCAGTGAGAGCAAATAATAAGCGATCAATGACAGCATTGACTATATATATACGTATTGTTTACGCACACATACACACATATACATTTACGTGCATACACGGCTGTGGTATATAGCAGTCCTGGCTGGTTGGCGTATCTTATGTCACGTATTTGTTTTCAATCACGTAATTGCGTATAATGACGTATTGATTTGATTTACTGCGCTCATTCGAAAGGTATTTGTTGTAAATGTATGCTGGGATAAACGACTAGYGGGCACTCYGGTGTTCTTTCTTAAGCATTTAAACACTTTTCATATTTAATATGCATCATTATTTTTTCYTCATTACTTCCATGGCAACAATCTACTAATACAATACTTTAAGTAATATTAAAGAGCAGAAAACATTTTAAAGTTCCCAAAAAGTTAACAAATTAGATTCCACATTCCTTGTGTAGTTTTTTATGCTGAATTAGCTTAACTACTGATCTTTGAGGCCACCCACAAAAGAGTTACAGGACAAATATAAAAATAATTATTCAATGTTCCATATGAATTTCACAACATTTTCCCCACCACAGCAAGGACGTGCGCTTGCCAGTACAATTACAACGCGCCATGGCCGCCGAGGCTGAGGCCGCACGTGAGGCACGCGCCAAAGTTATCGCCGCCGAAGGAGAACAGAAAGCCTCTAAGGCATTGCGCGAGGCATCCGAGGTGATCGGCGGCTCGCCGGCAGCGCTCCAACTGCGTTACTTACAGGTAAGCGATAATTACAACAAATTAATGTTCATGTCACACAAAATTAACCATAATTTTGCAATTATCACCTCATCGCAGACACTCAACACAATATCWGCGGAAAAGAACTCCACAATTGTTTTCCCATTACCCATCGATTTGATAACTTACTTCCTGAAGACTACCGAGGCGACGGCGCAGCAAAATGCCGTTGTACCGGCGGCGGCGGCAACGACCAGCAGCGAGCACTCACCGCAGGCGTCGACATCGCCGCAGGCGGGCATACAAACGGCAGCCATGTAAAAACAACAACAACAATAAGAACAACAACAAATAAATTTACACATAACAGCATGCAACATACATCGGTGTGTATGTGTGTCTGATTTGCAGAAGTTTTTTGTGAGAAAGCCGAAGCATGCAGGACTTTGGGGTGTGGGGCCGAGAAATTGTTCAAGTTGACTCGGAAATATGCCKGCATCGAGAAATGCGAATGTTTGTGTGAAATATTCTGAACGCAGTTGAAGAAATTGCACAGTGTGCGMGAAAAGTATGCATTCTCTTGGCTGAATTCCGGCAAAATGTGTGATAAATGACTCAAAAAGATAAATTCTTTGCAATTTAGACTCTCTTTGAGATCAGTCCATCGAACTACGACAAAAATCGTGAGTTGCTGAAAGACCCTATACTTTTTGCGCACACTTTAGCCATGCGAATAAGTGAATAACTGTAGTTTTAAGTAGTAATAGTCCAGTTGATAAAACGTTGCTGAAAATGGCGTTAAGTTTGAACGATTAGCTAAAAATCATAAAGTTTGCAAAATTTTCTAAATATTAATTACATTAAATATTATTACTACACTTCTTAGCTGAATTGAATCACACGGTTGCCAGTAAGGCGATACGGAACGAAAGTTAAATATGATAGATTTACTAAGCCAATTACTTAATTATTTTCCCAACTCACACGCACGCGTTTAATTCATCGAAATATATTAAATACAAGTACACATTTTCATGTGCGAATTTCAAGTTTAGTAATTACGACCGCATACTTATACATATATACAAGTAGTTGAGTGAATAAAAATTGAGAAAGCAGTTTAGTAAACGCTCATACTTAGCATGTAAATATTATATAAGTCTCGATCTCATTTTTGAATTCGTACAAGTGCTTTGAAAAATAGCTTAAATGCATAATTAATGTGGCAAGTCACACACACATGCATAGRTTTGTAAATATATTCGCATTTACTTATATTTAGGCACCTCTCTCATTTGCGATTAGGACACCCGAACCAAATAATAAATTGCATAACTAATTTACTGGCATAATAGAAYGGACCGATTGCTAACAGTTTTTTAAGAGATACTAAGAAAACAATTGAAAAACCAAAAAGGCTAATAATATTCTTCAGAATCCGAGAACAAAATGAATGCAAAAGCAAAACTTGACCAAATATCTCTGATCTTGTGACAATTAGAAACGAACTTATAACTCAAAAATTAAAATTAAWTATAATAATTTGTYAAAGTTTWAATTTTTTTTTATATTTWTATCCCATTTTTCCCATTTTAAGTTTCGTGATTTTTATAGTCCGCGTTTAAGTAGTACAGGTATAGAGTTCAATGTATGTACGAACTGTTAGGTGTTAACTCAATATTCAGTGCTTAATAGCAGCGTTCACCAAACTTGGTTTTAAATAAATCGATTGTAACATTCGATGTTTGCCTTGTGGCTCCGTCCTATTGGAACCACAAATTGCCCTAGTCCATATCATCCAATTTTGGCCAAAARTGTTCGGTTATCAATGAGCGTCCCCGATTCCCATTCCAGTAACGTGCCGGTCTTGATCATCACACAAGAAGTACGACCCAATGACGCCGCCGGTCCATAAACCGCATTAGCCCGTAAGTTTTTCGACATGCAATGGTGACTGATGGGTAGATTTCATTGATATCCCAAACCATTACGGTTTTATTCAAAATAACTTCTGTAGCACACTTATTAAAACCGTGCTCTTAAAGTTGAGGCTACCGACTCCGCATTTCGGTAGTAAATATTAATAATTTCGGCTAGTTGTTGGATCGTATATCCTTCCCGAAGAACATTATTTGGCAATTATTTTTTGAAGATTATTTCTTTAAAATGCTGACCGCGGCTTCGTCTCAAATGGTCCATCAGTTGAGTCCAATTTTCGATGACTCTTTCAATTGGTAACTGGCGAATGATRCGCTCCCAAGCTTAAATCGAAGCAAGATTGTTGCTTGTTTGCTCGATGGTTTTTTTTTTGAACTTTTCAAGGTCCCATAAAGCGCAGCAATATCGTTTGAAAAGTTCAACTTCTTTGCAGAACGTGCATTTTCGAACTAAAGTTGATCTTTGCATGATCGAATGCCAAACAATTCTGAACAMAAATAACAAAACATCTTGACACGACTGGCAGGATTGAACTGTGAAAAAAAGGCTGCTAAAAAAGTATCTCGTCTAAGATCACCCAATACATATGGCTTTATCTGCAGTGGTTTAATAATAAATTGTGATCTGGCATTAGTTAATTATTTTTAGAAATTTGTACCAGAAAGTGTTTCAGTACTATCCTAAGCGATTAGTAAACAAATTTGACGCATTTCTTGACTTTAAAGAATCAACATATTGAAATATGTTTAAAAAAATTTAAGTAAATAATATTGAAGAACCAAATTCATGATCTGATCAAAGTTCTGTCGTCTACCTTTTTTGTAYCCGAAAATGGACAATCTCTTAGAAGCTCAAGGGAATTTATTTTAGAACTTTTTTGGCCACTGTAGGAGACAAATTTTACTTTTACATGTGTTGTATTTGTCAGAAGCAGTTTGCCTCTTCAGCTCTCTTTCGAATTTATGATCACCGCTTTGGATTTGGAACCAGTACGAAGACAAAAGACATTGCTTATTAATATTTTGTACCGTTTAGTAAATTTATATTTATCTCTTTAAACTAAACTAGTACGAATTTCATTATTTTTAATATTAAATTTTCTTATCACTGATTCATTATTGGTGACCTAGGTCTATAAAAATCGTAAAAGCATTAAGTGCCACATCGAATCTATAAAATTTCTAATTTTCGCTACGAAATGAACGAATTGTTATACATATGTACATAGCATATTATATAATGAATTGAAAACAAAATTATTGTCAGCACGAAAACTCACTTTTGTTTCGCACTAAGATAGCTCACATAAGAGTAAATACGCAAACACTTTTAGGTTGCTAAGCTTAAATATTTTAAATAAACAAAAAAAAAAAACTCAGATAACATTGTTCTAAGGGATCGTAAGAGATTCTCTTTTGTAAAGTTGTTTATGTAACAGTACGTAAACATTAGCTGTACTGATGGAATCTTTTAAGAATAAAAAGAGAGTGGAACAAAGTCTTATAACAATTGTGCCAGACACACTGTGAATCTTTCAAGATTCCAAAAGCTGAATTGAAGATTTAAAAACCTTTCATAGGCCAATAATCGCTCTAGAAGACAGCAAACCATTATCGAGAATCCAGYTTTAGTTTACAAATAATCTAAATCCAATGTAAAATAACTATTTGGTATCGAAAAATGCGATATTTAAAACGAATTGTGCAACATTCAAATATAATGCACGAAATTGTCTTTGTTCAGTGTAATTAACGTTACCATAAAGATACAGACAGCCACACATAATTTTTCAGTTAGCAGAAGCTACAGTGCCGTAAATATTTGCTGACATTTGTTTGCGCCAATGAGTGATGAAAGGGAATGAACTAGGATGACAGGATAAATAAGAAGGAGTGTTGAAGTTTGAAGCTTTTGCTATAAAATGTAAAGCTATTGAAAGCTTTAAAGCAAGGAGCTTTCGGAAAAGCACACAAAAGCTCACACGCTAACTAAGCGCCAAAACTGTAACGCAAACCGATTTATGTTTGAAGCTGATAAAGCTTCTCGCTGTCTAAGCAGCTCTGTTTGTAKGAGAAAATATTCATTTAAGAGCCTTGAGTTTTTAGGAATTGGTAATACCTGGAAGTTGTTAACAAACTAGCAGTTGCAGCGTAAAAAACATAAACTTGCATTTGAGATTTGAAAGACAAAATCAAATACAAATACAAAAGCTCGAAAGACTGGGCAGTCCAACACGGTTGATTCTCATGAGGTCCACACAGCTTTTTAATTATGGAAACAACTGCATGCATGGAGTTTTGTAAATACAAAATATGTATATCTTATGGCTAAAAAAATATAAATTTAAGTATTTTACAAAAGCAAGCAGGAAAAAATAGTTTTTCGTCATGCTTAAAGTCCCACACGAATTCATTAAATATAGTGARCGGGAGATCTTGGTAAATCGATAATTAAAGTTTCATTCAATGCTCAGCTAATTCAATATACACTATGTAGCAAAAGTATACATACGTATCAATACATTTTTTTTATTAAAATAAAAACTTATTAAAAGTAATAGTTAATTAAGAGAAGGAAGAATGGAAATATTTTCGACTTTCAACAATGAAAATACAGGTTTAAAATACTCGAATACTTACATACAAAAGTACATACACAAGTGACAAATAGAATGGACACACAATTAGTGGCGCCAAATATTGAAACCGCATGCAATAACTAAACACATACATACGCACATAAATAGGTATGTGTGTGTATACAAATTGAAATTTAAATAATCGAAAATATAATCGAATATAATTGAATACTTGTAATCAAAGCCAGGGAGCAGCAAAATGTATGTAGCTGAGGAAATCTGACAAATAAGCAGCTTTTAAGGCGCTGACGACTGCGTGCGTCTGTGTGTGAGGAGCGGAGCGCTGTGTACATTTAACAGGTTTTGTAGTGCAACAACAAAAGTCGGACGGTAAAGACAGAAAAAGAGGAAGAAAGGCGGGTAAAATGGCCAATGACCGCGCTCCGGCTTTTGTTGTGGCAATACAAACCGCAGCACTACAGAAAATGTATTTAAAAACAAAAACAAAAAAGTAGTGAAAATAATGTAGCATAGAAAGGAATATGTAAAATTAACAATGGCATACATATTTACATACACCACACATTAATTTCAACTACGAATTTACATAACTTTGTACTTGCATACATACTTACATAGCACTTATATATACATACATGCATATGTATTCATTATGTAGTCTCAGCAGCAGCAAAACAATTTTCGAATAATAAACTCAATTAACTAGTATTCATTTATTTATAGAGCAAGCATTCAAAGCGAGAGAGTTGTCTACTTACACTCACACTCACACATACATATGTACTTTAAATGGTCGCGGATTTATTACTTCTCTATGGCCGTGCAACTCTGTCTCTGTGTAAACTAAAGTCTGTAGAAATCAAATTTTTAAAAATACACAATTTCAAAAATTAGCTAAGTAACTGTACTTTAAAGAAACAAAAAAAAAAAAACCCCTTAAACTTTCACGCAATCGCCATTTTTGGCATGATAATAATTACTGTACGCACACACACACACACACACTCATACACAAACAGAATTAAACAGTGCTGCAGAAGAAATGCTTGATGATCCGATGAATTGCGTCAAGAGTGAGCGCATTGTTCATTGCATATGATAATATCAACCGATTACAAAATACGATTCGATACTTTTACTTACCCAAATTACAATAATTACAACAAAAAACAATATGTAGAATACTGCAAATGAGAGACCGTTTTCGAAGTTTTTCAATAAATCAATGTTTTTATCGGTGTCCAAAAACAAAAGACCAAAAAGATAACGTATTTATTTTGTCTAAGGATATTCGGGTGAGTATGCGGGAATTTTGCCTTACCAGCGGTCCAGTTTGGATTCACAGCAAGCGGTTAGTATTGTTATGCCTCCTATGAATTTTTAAAGCTCACAATTTTGGAGAAATCTTGAGATATGGAGAGGCCTGTCCGAWCTTATATTGATAAAGCCAGGTCCTTTTCCATCTGATCGAATCATCCCTCCCCAGGGTTGTGCGCTGGGGTYCAGTTACCTACTTGGAGTGGAATCGCCTCCTGGGATCRTCAAGAGGTCATTCTTCAACTACAACGGCGACATCAAACAATACGCCCACCAGACTTTGAACGCAACTAACTTCCGACAAGCACTGACCGCCAGTCACAGTGGAGTCATCAACCAACTATTTCTCAGGGAATGGCATACTTGGGGTCAAACCACCACCCATTGCAAACGAAGAGCTCGCGTTGCTGCGAGAAACGAAAGTGTCCCTTACTCAGCTTCGTTCTGGATATTGTAGCTGGTTAAACTCCTATTAATCGGAATAAACCCCGACACTTCTAATATATGTCCAACGCGCAATGAGTCTCCGCATGACACTGGTACCTCTTTGCATGCCATGCTAACCCTACTCATCTGACTACTTTCTAGCTTTGGTCCGATCCCAACAAGCGATATTTTCGGTCAAAAATCAACTATAGATACTGGGGTCCACATATACGGTAGCTGGGCTTCAACAGTTTTGATTGCAATTCTTGTTTTGTGGACTGGAAAGTTAAATAATCAAATTGAGTTAAAAATCGCCGCACTGTGACATATGGATGTAGTACGAATGCCATTATTTAGTCGAAATCGATATATGGGATTTCACCCAAAAGTTTTCACTCTGGCTCCCATAAAGCCCTCTCGTACCATCTCGGAGAACGGACAGATAGTCACTCCGATTTCAACTCGTCTCGTCATCCTGATCATTTATATATAACCCTAATATATTACCATGTATATAATATATTTTATACGAGTATACATATATATCGATTAGTTGTAGGTGATACGTACAATCGTTAGGTGAAAAAAGTTATTATACGCTGTGGCAAGTGTTGTAAGACTATAGAAAGACACATTGACCTGTTTCATTACATTTTCAGGGTTAAAAAAAAAACACAAATATGGAGTCTCCTACTCCTATGAAATAGGTGCAATATCGGCATTTTAAGGTTAGGTTGAGTGAAACACATTTCGTAATTTGAATTTTATATCATAATTTATTTCATTATTATTACACATAATTTCTGTCAGCTATGATTTATGATTCACTTCTAATTCGCTTTAGCAGCGAATCGTGTGTTTACC